TGCCACCAGGGAGGCCCAAGTGCACCTCTTTTTTAAAAAAGATTTATTTATTTATGCATATAAGAACTGGGGTGTAGGCAGAGGTGTGGGGGGGATGAGAGGACTCACCAATGACAAAGTGGGGAGCAGAACAGGTGGATTGACAGAAATGCACTGCTAAGGGGACTAGCGGGGAGTCAGGAGAGGTCTGCTGCACCATGTGGGTCACCTCCCGGGTGGGGATCGAACTCGTGCTGCAGTGGCTGTAGATAGCTTCATAGTGCTGAGACTTAACTCCTTGCACTACCAAGGAGGCCCCTAGTGCCCCTCTTTGCAGCCAAAGTAGAAGCACACTTGGACAGAAGAACACTGTCCTAGAGAAAAGTAAATAATACATAGAGATGGATTATCAGCTATCTTTTGTTCCAGTGCTTGGAAGAACAAGAACTCAGAACCACTTATATGGAAATGTGAAAACTCCCTTAGAGCTTCCCTGTGTATATAAAGTTAACAAAAATGCCGTGGTGTCTGCCAGGTTGCTTGGGAATGGCTCCTGCAATTACCAGAATGTGAACATTCTATTTCTGATAGCTGCACACAGACACTGGCAGTTAAATTAAAACAAATCTGTGGTCCTTTTTTGCCTGCCAGTACCATGGCTACGTGTAGCCATTAGGCTGAGAAATAATAAAGCATCAAAATAATAAATCACCCAGTTGGGCGCTAGAACATTATGGTACATTACGAGAGCCATTGTTCTACTGCAGATAGAAAGAAATGGCGAATTCTTGCTGTGATGAGAAATGCCATTGCTGTGTGGGATACTCTCCTCAGAAGTAATCCACAACTGCTTTGCAAAAGCTGGAGTTGGAGCCACATAGTGTCAATGAACGCAGCAGGATGCAAGATGACGGCAGTGAGTTGCAAAGAGAAACTGTCCCATGCGCAAATGTCAATGATTTTTTAAGATATTGATAATGTGTTAGCTCCCTCTGCTGACTGTGAATTTCAAAGAGCAGGCATTATTGAGGTCGGTCTGTTTGAGCATAGCAGAAAGGTAGAAAAGTTGCCCAATTCCAAATATCCAGGAGAAAAGATGCATAAACAGCATTGCTGATCAATGATTAATCGCGATAATGCAAATGATTTTGATGTCAAAGCAACTGTCCCTGGATTTGTTTGTGAAACACAAAATAACGCCTTAGGACCCAATTCTTTTAAGCAGAAAGGCTCTCCTGGATATGACTAGAGCTCTGTGTAATAGATGTATCTTACGTTGCCCCAGCTGACATTTCTAGAGAGCTGAGTACATGGGAACATCCAGTACCTGTAATCCAGACTCCATTTCTTCTCAGCTTTGTGATTTTTGTTAAGATGAGATGTGCACAACAAGGGCACTGGATTGGGTCATCTACACCATCAGTTCTCTAATTCCAGGCTTCGAAACCTTTACTCCTTAAGCTTAAGAGATAAGAGGGAACAAAATTTCAAGAAGAGTTGTTGCTAAGATCATAAAGTGGGAAGGAGCGTATCATATTTTGAGGAGCAGAAAGAGGCTGGTGTAAACTCCTCTTCTACCACTCTCTCTCACTTCCACTATCATCCAGTCACTGTTTGTTTTTGTTCCCTCTTATTTTCTTCAGGATGATTCTTTCCTGACAGTCCGGTTTCAATTTAAAAGTTACCTCCTCTGAGAGCCTCCCCTGGTGGTGCAGCGGTTGAGCGCTGGGTTGCGAGGCTGCCCACAGCCTCTGCAGTGCCAGTTCGATCCCCGGCCACCGGCGAGGGTCCCACAAAAAAAAAATAAACAAATAAAAATAAAAAGTTACCTCCTCTGAGAGACCTTCCTTGATTTCCCAATATAAAGGCTTGTACTAAAGATACAAATTTTGGAGCACAGATGAGATTACTTTAGGAGATTATATTGAGAAAGAGGAGGAGCTTTGATAGAGCCCTAAAATCTCTAAATTGAGGCAACATTTAGAGTTCATACAGCTATTAACTTAGAACTATCTGGCTCCAAAACTCACTCGCTAAGATACAGTGCTGTCTCTCAAAAACTAGGTATTGCATAAAGCAAATTAATATTAATATGAAAAATGAACCTTTGCAGAAGGTGTCTAAAGCTGACAAATGCAGCATATAGTTCACTGGAAAGTGAATAGATGATATTTGAGATAGCTCTTGAGGAATGAATAAGATTTAGAGAAGGGAGGCAGCATGTGTAAAGGTACTGAGGCGTCAATAGCATGGTATCTAAGTGTTAACTCCATGCAGGCAAGATCACTGTCTTGTTCACTGTCTTGTTCTCTTGCACCCAGAAAAGGCCTGGTTCACAGCAGAACTTACTCCATATTTGTTGAAGGAATGGATGGATGGATGGATAGATGGCTGGATGAACCAGCAAACACCATAATACAGAAGACTTGAACATGGGGTGTGTTGGTGGGAGAAGCAGAATATGAAGCAGGAGAGGTAGAAAGAGTTCAGTTCATGGAAGGCTTTGAATTCTTTGTTGAGAATCTTAGATTTTCTCCTCTATATAATGGGGAACCAAAGAAGATTTTAAGTAGAATCTTAAAGTAATAGACTTCTATTTTAGATAGAGCCATCTCAGGTGATACAGAATGGGTGTGTGCATTGGGGAGATGGTGAAGGAGATACTATAGGTACAGAGATGTTACATATGATTTTTAAAAGAGATTTATTTATTTTTATACAAGAACCAGGGTACAGGCCAGATGTGCGGGAGGGTGAGAGGATTCACCAGAGACAGAGTGGGGAACAGAACAGGCAGACCGACTGAAATACACTGCTGAGGGGAGCAGCGGGTGAGACAGGAGAGGTCTGCCCCACCATGTGGGTGTCTCCATGGCCAGCAGGGATTGAACCTGCACTGCTGAGGCTGCAGACAGCTTCACAGCGCTGCGCTCAACTGCCTGTGCCACCAGGGAGGCCCTACATATGATTTTTAATGCCCAGATCACTTTGTTGCAGTTCTCTGAATGTACTTCACTTTGTCAATAGCACAATAACTAAGGTTAGAGAGGAACCATGTGTACCGCATGTCATGACCAGTACTATATTTTTGTCATGTTTGGAAAATATTGAGGAGTGAAGTAGGGCTAACTTGCACAAAATATCTCACCGTTTCTCATTTTTCCTTTCACTCTAAATATAACCTAAATAAAAATAAATGCTAGCTATCATTATGTAAGACCTAATGAAGAACAGATGACAAAAACAATGCTTGTTCAATAAATACTTGAGTGTTGACTCTCTGCCTGGTACTATGGCTCCTTAATTATCACAACAATCCTTGACTACAGGCACTATTATTATTCTCACTTTAAATCTGAGATAACTGAAGCTTAACAATTGAGATATATATAGGAGATAGAATTAATGTGACTTTACTGATTGTTGAATGTGAGATTTTGAGGGAGTGAAAGCATTCAAAATGATCCCAGCTTTCTGGCGTGGGCTACTAATTGTATGATCGTGCCATTCTCTGTGATGGGTTTAGAGGAGAAGGAGGACCAGGTTGTGGGAGAGGGCAAAGTAGAAATGTATTAAGTCAAGTGAGAACTAAGTTAAGTTTTAGGTGCCTGAAATAGATGCCTAGCTGTCATTAGATATTTCAGACTGGTTACAAGAGCCTTGTCTAGGCTTCCTAGATATAGTAATTATCAGAGTACAGATGACAACCAAAACAATGGAAATGGTTAAGATCATCCAAAAAAAGTGTGAATTGAAGGGTGAGAAGAGAAGAGCATGTAGGGCTGAGTTCTATAGAGCAAGAACATTTTAAAGGAAAAATGAGGAGCTATCAGAGGTAGGGATGAATCAGGAAAGTGTAGCATCTTAGAGCTAAGAGAACAGAGGGTGCCATGACATGAATATTTTTGTCCACCCCCAAAATCACATCTTGGAGCTCTGATTTCCAACCTGATGGTTTTTGGATGTGGGGCCTTTGGGAATTAATTAGGTCATGAGGATAGAGTCCTCTAGCATGGGACTAGTGTCCTACAGGAGACGTGAGAGAAAGTCTCTCCTCTATATGAGGGTAGAGAAGTCAGTGACCTGTGAGCTAGGAAGCAGCTCCTCAGCGAATCCTGCTATGAAATTTCCAGAACTGTGAGATATAAATCTCTGTTGTTTAAGACATCCAGTTTATGGTGGTTTGTTAAAGCAGACCAAAGTGACTAAGACAGGGGGTTGGAAGGAGGGAATAATGAATATAAAATCACATAGCTGAAGAATGGCTGAACAGGATCTATTTGTTTTTGCAACACTGCTGAGAATTTCAACTGGAAAGGAGAGATAGGAGAAAGAACACAGTTCAAGTGTGTGGGTGGTGAGGGGGTTGCAGGTGGGTGTGGGTTTGAGAAAGGTGACTTTGGAATGCTCTGAGAGGCATCTTGATAATCTTTAAATGTCGACAACAGAGAGATTAAGCAAGGAGCAGCTGATGAGTCAAGAGGCAGGTTTTAGTAGCACAGCTAGAGTAGGAAAGGAGGGATAGGGACATGGAGCTGTTGAGGGAGCTTCGCTCAAATGAGAGTAGCTGTTTATTTTTATTATGATGTTTTTGTTATTATTGTGTTTATTATTGTTGTTGTTGTTGCAAAGGAGAGAGAGAAAGGATTGCTGAGGAGAAGAACAAGGTTAGAAAACTTTGTGGCGAAACTGGGAATTCTGTAAGACAAATTCTATTTCGTCTGCGAACTAACAGGCGCTGTGACGTGCTGAGCCTGAGCGGGCAGATGGCAGGCAAGCTCGGCTCTTCGTTTATGCCGCCGACTCAATGCTGGGGCCTACGTCGCAGGCCCCGGTACTACCAGACTCTCATACCCTGCCCAGCTCGACATCGCTGACAGCCACTGCGGCCGACGGCTCAGCTGTAGACCCGCGCGAACTACCACTCCCAGAACGCACTGCGGCTCCTGGGCAAGCGGGCGCTGGAAACGCCGCCGACCATTGGCGGGTCGCTCACTTTCCCGGGAGGCCGCGCGCGGCCAGGGCGCTTGACGCGGAAGGCGGCGGCGTCCGGTGCCAGCCTCCCCGGGGAGCGGGCTGTCTGCGACCGGGCTCCCCGCGCCCCTGCCTCCCAAGCCCGCGTGCTCTCAGAGGACGCCCGGACAGGTAAACGGACCGGGGTGCGCTGGCCGGACAGCGGGGCGTCGTGGCGCTGGCCGGGCAGAGGCGTACAGGGGAGGCGCTGGGCGAGCGGCGAAGCGGGCCAAGGGGAAGCGGGCTTCTCCAGTGCCAGCGAAGCCCCTGGTCGGGCAGGGCCGGCTCTGACGACACGCGAGTGATGCCGACGAGCGGGCCCCGGGTTCCGGTGTCAGGAAGCGTTCCCTGCTGCCCCGCGGGGACAGAGGGTTGCGCGCGCCCTCGGCCGGGCCTTTCCGGGGCATTTCGGTCCCGAAGACGCCCGCAGTCATCTCGGGACGCCTCCGTGCGAGCGCCGATGGCGTTGCCTCGGCCTCGCCCCCTGTCCCGAGCTCCCCAAGGGTGGAGCTGCTGCCGCCCTTCCTCCCCCGCCCGGTGTGTGCGTCCGTCTCCTTCCTTGGTCCGGCTGGACTGTCTCCGCCCGCACTTAACCCACGGCCGTGCGTGGTTGTCCCGCCGGCCACTGCTTAGACCGCAGACAAGCCTCTTGTGCAAACCCATTGCATCTCTCCCCATAACCCTCAAACCCAGTACCTTTTCAAGGTCTTTTACTCTTATCTGTTAATTGCTCCCAACTACGTGGCCCTCCTTTGCCTCACCTCTCTTCGCACAGGACTCTGTTACATTTGTGAGGTTCTTTCCCTTTGAATAGCTGTTACGTCTAAGGAATATTTATTGAACAACTAATATGTGCCAGATACATCTCAGGGTAAGGGATCTGGTTGTACACATGACAGAGGAGGTCGCTGCCCTAGGGGCTTACATGTTCGCGCCTGTGGGCAGAGGGCAGTAGGCAAGATACTAGTGTATGTTGGTGGTGGTGGCCAGTGCAAAACAGAACAGGTGGAGGACTCAGTGGAGTGGGCTTCAACCCTCGGAAAGTAGAATGGGGTTGAAGCCCTCTCCACTGAGTCCACCACCTGTTCTGTTTTGCACTGGCCACCACCACCAACATATCACTAGCATCACCCAAAAAAGATGATCTGTAATTCCAGCAAAAACAGTTTTTGTCTGTGACCAGACTCCAGGCTTTTCCTAATGCCTCTTCTTTTTCTCTGCCATATCAGTGTTCTTCGTTCTGTCTCCTCCAAGGTTATTACATCAGAATTGGCAGTTTTTTTGTGGTTGACTTACTTCCTTCCAAGACCCAGACAGAAAAGTCCTGGATTGGATTACTCTCAGCTCGACTTCTTTATCATACTTAGGGAGCTAGTTCACTAATCAAAATATTCTTTTCCCAGGTCTTTTTTTTTTAAAGATTATTTATTTATGCATACAAGAGCTGGGGTACAGGCCAGAGATGTGGGGAGTGAGAGGATTCACTAGAGACAGCATGGAGAACAGAACAGGCAGACTGAATGAAATACACTGCTGAGGGGAACAGCGGGCAAGGCAGGGGAGGTCTGTTGCGCCATGTGGGTTGCTCCCTGGCTGTCTGGGGATGGAACTCGTGCTGCAGTGGCTGTGGATTGCTTCATAGTGCGTTGCTTAACCCCTCGCGCCACCTCTTTTGCCTGGTCCTAAAGAATATAAAGTTTGAACTATTGTTTGTAGTATATTTAAAACACACCCAGTGTTCATTTGTTCACCAAATACTTGAGTGAATATTATATGCCAGGCACTGTGCTCCACACCATGAGGGCAAACGAGACATTTCTACCTCTCTTCCAAGAATAATCCTAACTGTATATTGAGGAAATTCCTAATACATAGGCTGATGCCGACATTTTTTTTTTCTTCCAACATGAGATAATCCCCAGAACTTCAGGAATTGCGTAAATGTGTACATTCTTAGGTTATTCATTTGTTATGCTTTAATGCATTTGTTTGTTTACATCTGTCTTCCCTAATGCACCATGGCTCCCTGGAGTATAGCACTCCTTTCTTACAGGTCTCAGTGCCTCCAGAGTCTACTACATTGGCTGCGGTAAAGGAAACCCCAGAACATGTTCGACTGAAATGTAACAATAATTAAATCCAATACAGATGACTTAGTTTATACAGGGCCTTCTTTATATAAGGCCATTAGACTTATATCCCAAACCTTCTTATTCACCACATCTGAAGATTCCATCTCATCCTTCTTGCTTGTTCTCACTTCTATGCCTTCTCTTGTTCCACAGCTTCCTCCTAAAATGAGTTCACATCACTTTACTGAGCACCTTGCATACCTCCATTTTGTTTAATGGGCCAATTTAATAGTTTGTCCCATGATTTGAGGGTGGAAAATTTTAATTTCCATTGTGTCCTTCCTATGAAACATTCTGCAAATGAACTATTTGCAAGGATTGACATAATATGTCCCTTTGTAATAACATAAACAATGATACCAAATTCTTTCAATTTTTGCAATGACTGTTAACCATGTCCTGTGTGATGGGCTAATTCTTACAGTTGTTTTTTTTTTGTTTTTTTTTTAATAGAGGCATGCTTTATTTATTTATTTATTTGTTTGTTTGTTTTGTTTATACATGCACTGGGTACAGTCAGAAGCGTGGGAGGGTGAGAGAATTCACCAGAGCCAGAGCGGGGAGCAGAGCAGGCAGAAGGACCGAAGGACACTGCTGAGGGGAGCAGTGGGTGGCAGGAGAGGTCTGCGCGCCATGTGGGACCCTCCTCCGGTGGCCGGGGAGCAGCCGGGGATCGAACCGGCGCCGCAGAGGCTGCGGGCAGCTTCGCAACCCAGCGCTCAACCGCTGTGCCACCGGGGAGGCCCTCTTACAGTTGTTTTTGTTCGAACAGTTGCACAACCTTTATTCATACAGCATATCATGGTATCATTTGGTTGCCACTCAGTACCAGCACATTTTTTTTTAAGATTTTATTTATTTATTTATGCAAGCACTGGGTACAGTCAGAAGCACGGGAGGGTGAGAGTATTCACCAGAGACAAAGCGGGGAACAGAACAGGCAGACTGACGAAGTACACTGCTGAGGGGAGCAGCGGGTGGCAGGAGAGGTCTGCACACCATGTGGGACCCTCGCCCAGTGGCCGGGGATTGAACCGGCGCTGCAGAGGCTATGGGCAGCTTTGCAACCCAGCACTCAACCGCTGCACCACCAGGGAGGCCCCCAGCACATTTTTGAGTATGATTTTCTCCTTAGCCAGAGATAATTTATGTGTCATTATTCTGCCACACTGTCGTTTTCGGAATTTTAGATAAAAATCTGCATTCTGAAAAGATTTTTCTATGTAGATATATTTCAATTGTCTTGCAAAAGATAAATGTATAACTGATTGAAAACACAAAAGGAATGCAGAAATGTTCAGTCACGGTTGTCATTATAGTCTTAGGATGTGCCAACCTGAGAGCATCCAGACATGCTTCCAAGACATAAAAAATTAAGCACTCTCATAATGCGAATGCAGCAGTGAGTTGTGTGCCTTCACTTACTTCTGAGTGTATTTATATTTAATGTTATCAAAATACAGAGTTAAAAAAATTCCTCAGAACACATTCAGCTTCTCTTAGATGTCTCAGCTGAGGAGTGTTCATATTGTTGCTATTCTATGTGTTTTTAATATATGCAGTCAGTCCCTTACTTACAAATTGATATATTCCAGAAGTTCCATTGTAAGATTACTGTTTGAAACTGTGGATGCATTTTCTCTGTAAACAAGGCTATCAATGACTTTTCAGTCATGCCAATCAGAAACAGCTAACTTTACCTTTAATTTTATGGACCTTCAACACTACTTATGACAATTCCTCTATAGAAAACTACATCCAGAATTCTCACTGGATTTCCCCATAACGTAGTTTTCCTGGGAATCCCAGAAACTGGAACAAAAATATCCTTTCTTTGGAACCTTCTGGGCAGTAGAAGCAGGCCTTACCAACGCCGTGCTGTTGGAGGTTGTCTTTCTGGCCCATAGCTCTAAGGATTGGACTCTAATAGGAGTAAGGACTGAGGTGGGATAGAGTTTTAGAGATGAGAGGGAGACAAGTTGGGGTGATGTGAAGATGTATAAAGGGGCGAGTAGGAGTGATTTGGGAGGAATGGTGAGTTTCTAAGGGAGAAAATGTGTCCTCAAAAAAGATAGGTTAAATCCTGACCTGGTATCTCTGAATGTAACCTTATTTGGAAACAGGGTCTTTGCAGATGTAGTTAAGATGTAAGTTAAAAATGAGGTCTTTCTAGACTCATTGTCCGTATTATAAGAAAAAAGGCACAGAATGCCCGTGAGGACTGGGGTGCACATGGCGCACGTCATGTGACTATGGAGGCAGCGCTTGAAGTGTAGCTGCAAGGCAAGGAGTGCCACGGATGGCCTGCACACCATCAGGAGCAAGGAATACACAAGGAAGCAATCTCCCTGCAGACTTTAGAGAGAGCATGGCCCTGCCAGCATCTTGATTTCAGGGTTCAGGCCTCTAGAATCATAAAACAGTAAATACCTGCTTTGAAGCAGCATTTGACACTTTGTCGCCGTAGCCACAGGAACGGTATTCTGAGCAGGCGTGAAGTGGTATTGGGATGATGATTGTGAGACCACTTTAGTACGTTAGTAGGGAGGAAGAGAACAGTGTTGAGACGGGGTGGGGGGGGGTTTCTTTGTATTCTATTTATCTTTCATTCCCTTCTTTGGTCCTATCTTTTTCATTCATTTTCTTCTGGAATATTATATACTGTGTAGCGCTTTGTGGTTTATTAGGCATTCACATACTGCTTTTAATTAGCAGAGCCAGTTTCGTGGTACAGTTGTTTCTGTTACCCCATACTCATTATGATGTTATAGGTTCTGTTGCCAGAGAGTTATCGGTGAGACTTGATTATAGGTAGGCCCTTTAGCAGTATAGGACAAAATCAGAAATTCCTACTATGACATCTGCGAGCAAAGTAAGGTTTATGTTGCTGTGTACCTGATGCTTAACAGTCAGGCATTTTTAAATCGGGGACTGCGTTCATTGAACACAGCACTACTTCCCTGTAACTGAGACCCATTGTTCCGGGTTATATAGTCTGAATAGTACTCTCTCTGTTCCAGGTGACTGCACTTTATGTAAACTTAAACTGCTGTCATGCTCCCTCTGAGTCTTCTCCTTTTCATGTTAAGTATTTTTAGTTCCTCCAACCCTTCTTCATGTGACTCAATCTCCAGTTCTCTCACCTATAGTGTTGCCCTGTTGTCCAATCTTAAAATCGCTACCCAAACTTGAACTCAGTATTGCACATAGGTTATAATCAGCACAGCAGATAACAACGCTGCCTAAAAGATAACCTGGTTTCTTAATGTAACTTAAGATTATGTAAGCACTTTAAGCATTTACCTCAAGTCAGTTCAGGATGAACTTATAGTCCACTAAGACACTAAGTAGATCTTTTTGTATTGTTGACAAACTCACTTTTTTCTTGAAGTTGCTAAGGCATGGAGGCAGCTCTTTATCCTTCTCTTTTTCTCAGGGACCATATGATTTCTTGTTTCTGTATCTCTTTAGGTTTTTGTTCCACTCCACTGCATGTCTCTTTGACCCTAACCAGTGACCTCCTTCCTTATAAAATTTCAGTGACTGCTTTACAGTCTTCATAGTCTGTGAACACAACTTGGAGCTGACACTTGTTTCTTCTTGAAGATTTCTTTCCCTTTGGCCTCTAGGGCACCATTCTCTTCTGGCTTTCCTCTTACTTTCCCAGTTGGTTCTCCTCAGGCTTCTTTGTGAATCCCTGTTCATCTGCCTTTCACTATTGGTTGTGCCTTGGGTTTTATCAGAAGTTTTTCCTCAACATAGGCTGTGCATTGGAGTTTTTATTCTGCAGGCAGTGTGTCTTCAGCAAATAAATCATGTTTAAAATGGCAGGTCTAGGGCCTCCCTGGTGGCACAAGGGTTTAAGACGCAACCTATGAAGCTATCCGCAGCAACTGCAGCATGAGCTTGATCCCTGGCCAGGATGCTACCCACATGGTGCAGCAGACCTCTCCTGACTCACCTGATGCTCTGCTCAGCAGTGGATTTTAGTCAGTCTGCCTGTTCTGTTCCCCACTCTGTCTCTGGTGAATCCTCTCACCCCCCACACCTCTGGCCTGTACCCTGTTCTTGTATGCATAAATAAATAAATCTTAAAAAATGGCAGGTTTACAGAGGAGGGGAAGGGGAAAAAAGATGATAGGGCATCAGCATAGGTGTTTTGCATGGGTGTTCTGGTAGCGAGTGAGGTAAGCATGTGCCTATATGCAGGTGTGAAGCTGTAAACCTCAAATTATATAGTTATGTAAATGACTGACAATAAAATTTGAGAAAATAAGTAAAATGTAAAAAAAAAGAAAGAAACATTGTTCTTGGAGGAAAAAAAATAGCAGGTCTAAGGCAGGAAGGAGCAGCCAGACATGTAGAATATTTCAAGAATGAGGGTTCATCAGTGGTGTTGACTGTTTCTGAGAGGTTAAATGAGGTGAGAATAGAGAAGTGACTAAAGAATTTTGCAATGTGGATTGTCTTAGCGAACATACTTTTGTGGAGTGTTGAGGACAAAAGCTCTTCAGGGTCCCCTCGTTGATAATGAGTTAAATAAAATCTTTAGCACATGCTCATTTTTTAAAAAAGACATTTATTCATCTCTTTTTATAAGTTCATGCCATTAGATAAGAAGACTGGGCTGTTCTGTGAGAAAAATAGTATATATTAATAAACATGAGAAAAATAATCTTAAGCTCATGCTATATTGTTTTAGAAATATTTTGTTTTTGAAGGCTCTTACCATAACTTATAAAACCATTCCTCTCTTGTGGAAGATTTGGATTATTTTCACTGCGTTTCTAATATAGATATTGCATTTTATATTAGAGACAGTATAGGGGTAAACTTTTGGGTTTTAGAATCATACCTGGATTTTCTCTTACTGCTTCCTAGCTCTGTAATTTTGGGCCAATTATTTAAGCCATCTGTACTTCAGTTTCCTCATCTATAATGTAAGCATCATAATGGAGTATAATTTCATCAATGCAAGGATTAAATGGAGTTAATCATTGTAAATTACTGTTGTTAATAGGGATCTTTGTGAATCTAGTCTAACTTAGCTGAACTATTTCCCTAGGATAAATTTTCAGGAAGGGATTATTATGCTCAACTGTAACAACATCTTTGTTGTTAGCTATCTTGTCCTTATTGCTTTTCAAAGGATAATAGCAATTTATGCTGTATAATTTTTATTTATTATTTTTTTAAAAAAAGATTCATTATAGGGCCTCCCCGGTGGGGCAGTAGGTTGAGCGCCGCGCTGTAAAGCTGTCCGCAGCCTCTGCAGCATGGGTTCGGTTCCCGGCCAGCCAGGGAGAAACCCACTTGGCGTGGCAGACCTCTTTTGCCTCGCCCGCAGCTCCCCTCAGCAGTGCACTTCAGTCAGTCTGCCTGTTCTGTTCCCCACTGTCTCTGGGGAATTCTCTCACCCTCCCGTGCCTCTGACCTGTACCCCAGTTCTTGTATAAATAAATAAATCTTAAAAAAAGATTCATTTTTATTTATGCGTACAAGAACTGGGATACAGACCAGAGGTGTGGGGGGTGAGAGGATTCACCAGAGACAGAGCAGGGAGCAGAACAGGTGGACCATGAAATACACTGCTGAGGGGAGCAGCATTGTGTCAGGAGACGTCTGCCATGCCAAGTGGGTCACCTCCCTGGCCGGGGATCAAACTCATGCCTCAGTGGCTGCAGATAGCTTCATTGTGCTATGTATTAACCCCTTGCGCCACCAGGGAGGGCCTATGCTGTATAATTTTTAAAAGCAACTATCGATGTACTGCAACCTTAGAATGTGCAGCATGTGTTCATTACATTGTATATGCACACATACATGTGTACTTATTTGGTATGTCTACATATATGCATGTCAGCATGGTTTAGGTTGTAAGTGTGTATGAGACTGACTTAGTAAGTCTTGTCACTTTCAATGTTATAGTGCCTTGGTCAATAATGTTTCCAGGGCCTCCCTGGTGGCACAGGGGTTAAAGACAACGCTATCAAGCTACCAGCCACTGCAACATGAGTTCGATCCCCAGCTGGCCAGGGAGCAACCCACATGGAGAAACAGACCTCTCCTGCTTCACCTGCTGCTCCCTTCAGCAGTGTATTTCAGTCAGTCAGTCCGCCCGTTCTGCTTCCCACTCTGTCTCTGGTGAATCCTCTCACCCCCCGCATCTCTGGCTTATACCCCCATTCTTGTATGCATAAATAAATCTTCAAAAAACAATGTTTTCAGGTCGGGCCTCCCTGGTGGCATAGGGGTTAAAGTCTCAGTGCTGTCAAGCTATCACCAGCCACTGTGGCATGAGTTTGATCCCCGACCAGGGAGCTGACCCACATGGCGCAGCAGACCTCTCCTGTCTCCCCGCTGCTCCCCTTAGCAGTGTGTTTCAGTAGATCCACCTGTTCTGATCCCCACTCTCTCTTTGGTGAATCCTCTCACCCCCCCACATCTGGCCTATACACCAGTTTTGTATGCATAAATAAATAATAAATCTTAAAAAAATGTTTCCAGGTAAGGGTTGGTAAATGACAGCAAGTTACTTTTGAAAGATCATGTCATAGAAATATTATAACTCATATTATAACTCATGTGTGCCTTTTTTCCTTTTGATAGATTGAAGCCATGGCCATTCTTTTTGCTGTTGTTGCCAGGGGAACCACTATCCTTGCCAAACATGCTTGGTGTGGAGGAAATTTCCTGGAAGTGACAGAGCAGATTCTGGCTAAGATACCGTCTGAAAATAACAAACTAACTTACTCACATGGCAAGTGAGTTCTCTGCATGTGGTAGGGAGAAAGAAGTGAATTATTATTCCTATTATTCTTATTATTATTCCTATTCCTATTATTTTAATAGGAATAGTAGAAAAGGAGAACAGTAACCTTTACCATCTTAGAGAATGTCCAGTTCTGTTGGTTATAAATTTAACTTGTAATTATTTTATTCTACCATCTAAGTGATAAAAATATTTTAAAGATATGGAAGTGTCAAGTGCAAAAATGATTTTTCTATAGAGCTTTAGGATATGTGAAATGACACAGATAAAATAATATTCTTTTGATCATTCTTTTAGTCAGTATTTACTGAGCATTTGACTATTGCCACAAACTTTGCTCGATGCTGGGGATACAAGAAATGCAGTCTTTGTGGTCAGAGAGGTTTTAGTTTAATGAAGGAGACAGTCAAATTCATAGATAATCATACTAGAAGGTTGAAGGTAGGGGCATGACATTCTAGCTGGTAGGGAAGTAAGGAGGTAGTTCTCTGTGACTGGTGTCCTGAATGGTGAAAATAAAGCTAGAGATGTAGGCAGAAGAGAAGTCCTGTAGGGTCTGGGGCCGTGTCAAGGGATGGCCTTTATCCTGTGGACAGTGGGAAGGGATTGAAGGTTTTCAGTGGTAGTGTGATATGGTCGGGTTTTGCTTTAGAGAGATCACTCTGGTGGCTAGTTGGGAATGGATTGAAGAGGACATAGATGGGCGGTCTTAGGAATCAGATAAAACATACCTCAGTCATCTTCATCAACACTTAAAAAACTTTCATTACTTCTTAGCCCATCATTATTTCCTGAGTTATCTCAAAAGAAGGTCCTTATTGCTTTCCCTGGCTAACTCCTTATATAATTTAGGATCTAGTCTAAGCTACGCTAAGAGAGATCCCGAAATATACTGCTAACGTAAATGAGATAGCCCAAAGACGAGTGATTCAAGGCTCTGCCATTTTCAATTAATACCTCCCAACTCTGGCCATGGCAAGCTCTTCCAGTTCATGTCACCTCATTGTGCTTTCTGATATTCTTAAAGGCAAAGCTCAGAAGTGGCCTGACATTTTATTGTTGATAAACTTCTGCCAACATTTTATTCTTCACTGCATAGTTATATAGCTAACCTAGCTGGAAGGGAGGCTAGGACAGGCCATTTCTGGCTGTACAGTCACATACTCAGCTAAAACTCTATTCTGGAAGAAGTGATAGGATGTCAGGAGACAGCTTGCAATCTTGCAGTCTATTCTTCTGGGTTACCTGAATATCTGGGTGTACTTTTCCTCCCAAACGTAGAACATACCTCTTCTTTGCATCGGATGGCCCCAAGGACTCATCTGGTCACTGTGTCCAGCTCTGACTCCAGAGTGTCTGGGGGATGCACAGTCCTCTTCATCATACCTGGGGTCGGGCAGGGTTGGGGGCACTCCTTGATGGCAATGCATGTTGTTATGTTACTCTTTGTAGTCTTTGCACTAAGTTACACCCAGATGTGGTTAAGGAGAAAAATTTTGTGGGAAAAATGATGATTACCATTTTGGACATGTTTTAAGTGTCTGCAGTATGTCCATTTGGAAAAGACCAAGTAGACAGTAGCACATGTAGGCCTGGCACTCAGGAGATAGGTCAAACCTAGATTTAGGAATCATCAGTGTAATTGGGATAGCTGAAAAGAATCATCAACAAAACATGAGTGTAGATGCCGCCCTCCAGGGAGTGTGTATGAGAAGCAGGGGCCAAGTTTGCAGAGACTACCACATGAACCAGGCAAGCATAATGTCCAAACAATCTACTACAAAACACTTTCCAGAAGCAGAAAGGGTTCAACACTATCAAATGTTTCAGAGGGACATGGCAATGTGGAAGTTAGGGTGGAATTAGGAACAGTTCTGTAATAGTGGAGGAAGTCATTTTACCTGAGTTCCTGTTCTTTTCAATTGATATCAAGCCTCTATGTGAACATTAATAATTTCATGGGTACTCCAGTCTGCCCACTTACCCAGGGTAGGAATGTGGGATGCAAACTTAAGTCATCCCTCTGCCTCATCCCTAGTAGCCAGTCATCAAGTTCTGTTTGCCTGTCTCTTCTTTGTCCCTCCTCCTTTGACACAGGTAGTGTTTTTGCCTTGCTATGTCGTACTACCTGCTCGTCTGGTTCTCCTTTCAGTCAGTTCTCCATACCCCAGCCAAACCATCTTTTTAAAAATGCAAATCAAAATCAGTCTCCCCAGGCTTAAACCCTTTAAATGCTTGTCCATTGTTCTTAGGATAATGCCCAGTTGGTTTATAAAGTTTCACATAGCCTGGTATTTGTTGACTTCTCCAGCCTCCTCTGTACTGGCAGTTTATTTTTTCCTTACATTCTACACTCTGGTTGTGTGAACTAAATTCACTGTTCTACACCCATCCTGTGCTTCTTGTTCTCTCACTTTGTGCTCGTTCTTCACCTTGACATCTCGCACGTCTTCCTTAGATCTCAGCGCACATATCACTTGCTCTAGGAAGTCTTTCTGGTTATCCTTTGGCCAACTCTGTGAGGTGCCTCCTCTGTCTCTAGACTACCAGATACTGCCTTCCACTCCTCCTTACCCTCCCTGCTGTGCTGCACAGTGGTCTCTGTGAAGGCAGGGACTGATGGTTTTGCTTACTTGTGTCCTCAGCACCCAGCCCAGTAACTGGCTCAGAGTAGATACCAAACAAATGTTAGTGTTGAGTATTAGGTGGAGTTCTTAAGGGAAAAAAGACTGTATGGGCCATGGAGGGTTAGTCTTAATTATTTGTCCCTTCTAAGATACCATCTTTTGTTCATGCTGTAAGAGTACAATTATGCTTTTATAGCTATCATTTTAATGGGTGATAGGCATATCATTGCACTATGTACTCAGAATAAAGATCTTTTAATTTCGCATGTATTCCTATCAGTTTGACTTGAGAGAAATAGGTATAGGGGAAATAGGTATCGGTAAACAATATGGTGACAATGTCAGTACTGAATTTGCTTATCTATACAAGTGAAAGAGATGTTGCTCATAACCACAATAAGTTTTATATCTTCTGTTCTACAGCTATTTGTTTCATTACATCTGCCAAGACAGGATTGTTTATCTTTGTATCACTGATGATGTAAGTAGCTGAAGACATTGTTATTTAACTCTCCTTACTGTTACTAGAGTCAGTTCTTAATCATCTGTCTCTATGGTAGGTGATGTGACTATAACTGTCCACACTGGAAAGTTTTTTCTCTGCTTTGCGTTTATCATATTGAACAGCAAATGACAAGAAAAGTCAATCCCCGGGTATATGCAAACCATCTCAGTTTTGGTATGGTTTCAGTAGCCTCTTGCAACTTCTACATTTATTCTATAATGTAGTGAGAATTGATATTTGTAATTATGACCCTTTGGTATCAAATCCCTTCAAAAGTTATTTATCTGAAATAACAAATTAGATAGATTCTTATATTCCTCTAGTCAGTAAGGGGTGGGTTTTTTAATGAGTACGGAATTCGGGAGAACAAAGTCACAATACATTGTGACCCACTTTGTAAATCTTTAGTTCACATTACTAATCTGTTTCTTGAGTGTTTATAGATTCCAGACCTAATGTGCTCAATCACTGTCCTGTCATCGAGGTCCTTTCCCTCTGCTACCCTTAGTGTTGGCCTCTTCCTGGAAACACCCACCTCATGGCTACTTGGAGCTAGTGCTTGTGTACTCATGTCCAAGAAGAGGGACTGTGCCGTGTTCACCTGTTGTGTGGGATTGAGGAAGTGGTTCCTGGAAATATGTTCTTTCCTCTGCTTTCATGTCCTCTTGGCTAGTACAGTAGGTTGCTTATTTCTAGATTGATCGCTGGCAAGAGGCATGGAATTGGCATGATTGCTATAAGTCAGGGTTCTTAACCTTTGATATTCATGGACCCCCTCCCAGAATGTTTTTACATGTATGAGATAAAGTTAAAGATTTTAAATGAATCAATTATATTGAAATACAGTATTCAAAATATTTAAAAATTGACATAATGTATGCTATTTTATTAGTTCATTAAATAAGATCTTGTCATATGGTGAGGAGTATTGAGTATAAATGATTTTGAAAATGGTGATGAGGGTAAATGTTATTTTGAGAGGTCAATTACTGATGGCATATTAAAAAAAATGGTTTCTATTGCTGACAAAGTCATAGATACGATTTACTACTATTCTGCTTTGTTACTTAAATTCACCATTGAAATTAAAGATTGGTGAAAAGGACACAACTTTTTTTCTATCCAATTACTTGGCCCCTTGGCTCCAATGTAAGACCCCTTGGCTTAGACTAGTCACATGGGAAATGGAGATGAGGCCAAACCCAGTGATCATCACAAGGATTTTTATCCCAGGGTTCACATTACTTTCTATAATTAGCACCAAAAAAATCCAGCTACATCTGAAATGACTGACGTGAAAGGCTTGGAGTAGGTAAGAAATACCACTAAATTTTGAGTGGTCAGAATTGAGTTTTATATACTTGAGCTTTAATTGTGTGTGTGTGTGTGTGTGTGTGTGTGTGTGTGTGTGTGTGAATGAATAGTGTGTGTCTGTGTATTTAGTATATACAGACATGCACATGGCTTTTTCACAGTGTGGGACTAAACAAGTATATCACTTGATCTTTTCAAATGTGCTACCACTGTGAAAAAAGTCACAGTTCATGTCAATAGTGTTAATCTTTGTGGTGAAAGACTGCTATTATTATGGATGATTAAGCACCTTCTTATGCTGGACCTTCTACTGTATCCTTTGAAAAATATGGAGGGAATAAAATTCAGTTTCTGCTAGGAAGCTAACCTAGATACCATTATCTTCTGCTGGTGCTAACCCTGCTTCAGTTGGGCTCCCAGTACTTTCATTTACTAGTTGTTTGACTTTGGGCAAGTTAGTTACCTATTTAGTCTTTGTTTCCTTTTCTGTAAAAGGTCAGTTCTAGTTCCTCCTGATGGAAAGTTCAGTAAATAGCAGCTGTCCTGAGCTCCCTGGTGGCAGAAGGGGTTAAGACGCAACCTATGAAGCAATCGGCAGCCTCTGCAGCACAAGTTTGATTCCCCGGCCAGCCAGGGAACAACCCACATGATGCAGCAGACCTCTCCTATCTCGCCCACTGCTCCCCTCAGCAGTGTACTTCAGTCAGTCTGTCTGTTCTGTTCCCCACTCTGTCTCTGGTGAATCCTCTCACCCTCCACCCCACACCTCTGGCCTGTACCCCAGCTCTTGTATGCATAAATAAATAAATCTTAAAAAAATTAACTAAAAAAAAATATTAGTTGTCCTTATGCTGTTATTGTACATATCTTTGTTTACTTTCTAATGTGAACTCTGTGTTGGCCTTTCTTCAGGATTTTGAACGTTCCCGGGCATTTAATTTTTTAAATGAGATAAAGAAGAGGTTCCAGACTACATATGGTTCAAGAGCACAGACCGCACTTCCATATGCCATGAACAGTGAGTTCTCAAGTGTCTTGGCTGCACAGCTGGTAAGATGTTTGTCAGGCTATATTGCTTTGATTCATATCTTCCTTGTTACCTTAAAGCACCATTAACATAGGGGACCCTAACCTGTAATATATTTTTATGATTGTGTTAGTATACACCAGTGTAATAAAACTTCCCTGCTAAAAAAATTTATGGGGACATTTTAGTGTGGAAAACTAATAATCAGTGATATTCTCTATTAAAGTGGTCAGAGTATCTCAGGGTTGGATGCACATTGAAAATCATCTACTTCAATTACCCGTCTAATGCATAAATCCACTCAACATGGCAGAGAGCCTCTTAATCTCTGCATTAGCCTCCTACCATCCCATGAAGCAAATTTAATCTTTGACCAACTCAGCTTAATCATTTGAAAGTCTGTTCATGTGTATGAATGCCTAATTATCACTTCAGTGAAGTTTTACGTGTGTACACCAGTGAAATATTACCCTTTTCAAGCTAGAAAATATTTGCATGACTCAGTAAGTTCCGTCTTGTCCCTTTGTAGTCCGACTCCTCCCTGGCAGCTAACACTCTACCCCTGGCAGCTAACACTCTATCATATAAATTAATTTTGTCTTTCTAGCATTTCCTATAAATGGAATATATACTATGTACTCTTTTGTATCTTGCTTATTTTGCTCAGTGTAATGCTTTTGATATTTATCCATGTTTTATCAATCATTAGTTCTCTTTTTTGCTGAATAGCAGTGCAGGCATGTGCTACATATATTTACCCATTCTCCTGTTACTAAATATTTGAGTTGCTTCCAGTTTTCAGCTGTAATGAACAAAGGTATTATAAACATTTATGTATAAGCCTATGTGTGCACATAAATGTTTATTTCTCTGTGGTAAATACCTATAATAGAATTGCTGGGTCATATGGTGAGTAATACTTAATTTTATAATAAATCAAGCTTTTTCCCAAATGAGAAAAGAAGACTATATAATTATATACATTCCTTTTCACAGCTATAAATATTTCTTTTTTTGTATTACATTCTAACTCTGCAGTCTTCTGGGAATGGCTTTCCTTTAAATAATTAGGAATCCTTACTGTTTCGTCAGTTGTTTGTTTCAGACTTCTCATTAGCACATTCATGTATGTAACACTGTGTAAAACATCACCAACAAAAAAGTTTATCAATGCACAGTCAAATATAAACAGGATCAGCCGGCAGTAAAACTTTCAGCCTAGCCAGTTTGTCATTATTTCCAGATCTGTGTGTGATCCTCTGAACAAATCTGTGCCAGTATCTTTGTGTATAAATGAAGATAAGAATAACATCTTCGTTGTAGAATTTTTGGATGGATTAAATAATATCCTTTATTTGATGCATTTAGCACAGTGATGTGACTGGACTATTATGTGTTAAATACTTGACATTTGTTAGCTGTAGTTAATAATGTCAAGATATATCCTATCATCAGCGTCATGGATTTCTAGGACCTGTAAGCAGCCCATGAAAATAGGGTGTACGCTTTTTCGCAACGGGTTTGCCGCCAGAACACAGGTGTCGTGAAAGCCACAGCTAATCTAAGCCAAAATGGGAAAGGAAAAGACTTACATCAACATTGTCGTTACTGGACATGTCGACTCGGGCAAGTCTACCACTGCTGGCCGTCTGACCTGCAAATGTGGTGGGATCGACAAGAGAGCCATCGAAAAATTTGAGAAGGAGGCTGCTGAGATGGGGAAGGGCTCCTTCAAGTATTCCTGGGTCTTGGATAAACTGAAAGCTGAATGTGTGCATGGTATCACCATTGATATCTCCCTGTGGCAATTTGAGACCAACAAGTATTATGTGACAATCATTGATGCCCCAGGACACAGAGACTTTATCAAAAACATGATTACAGGCACATCTCAGGCTGATTGTGCTGTCCTGATTGTTGCTGCTGGCGTTGATGAATTTGAAGCTGGTATATCCAAGAATGGGCAGACCCGTGAAGCGTGCCCTTCTGGCTTATACACTGGGTGTAAAACAACTAATTGTCGGTGTTAACAACATGGATTCCACTGAGCCACCCTACAGTCAGAAGAGATACGAGGAAATTGTTAAGGAAGTCAGTACCTACATTAAGAAAATTGGCTACAACCCTGACACAGTAGCATTTGTGCCAATTTCTGGTTGCAACGGTGACATGTTGGAGCCAGTGCTAATATGCCTTGATTCAAGGGATGGAAAGTTACTTGTAAAGATGGTAATTCCAGTGGTACCGCATTGCTTGAAGCTCTGGATTGCATCTTGCCACCAGCTTGCCCAACTGACAAGCCCCTGCGCCTGCCCCTCCAGGACATCTACAAAATTGGTGGTATTGGGACTGTCCATGTAGGCCGAGTTGAAACTGGAGTTCTCAAACCCGGTATGGTGGTCACTTTTGCTCCAGTCAATGTTACAACTGAAGTAAAGTCTTTTGAAATGAACCACAAAGCTTTGAGCGAAGCTCTGCCTGGAGACAACATGGGCTTCAACGTTCAAGAACGTGTCTGTCAAAGATGTTTGTTGTGGCAGTGTGGCTAGTGACAGCAAAAATGACCCACCAATGGAAGCTACTGGCTTCACTGCTCAGGTGATTATTCTGAACCATCCTGGCCAAATTAGTGCTGGATATGCACCTGTGCTGGATTGTCACACAGGACACATTGCCTGCAAGTTCGCTGAGCTGAAGGAGGCAGACGATTGATCGTTGTTCTGGGAAAAAGCTGGAAGATGGCCCCAAATTCTTGAAATCTGGTGATGCTGCCATAGTTGATATGGTTCCTGGCAAGCCCAGTTGTGTTGAGAGCTTCTCTGACTATCCTCCTCTGGGCTGTTTTGCTGTTCGTGACATGAGACAGACGGTTGCTGGGGGTGTCATCAAAGCAGTGGACAAGAAGGCAGCTGGAGCTGGCAAGGTCACCAAGTCTGCCCAGAAAGCTCAGAAGGCTAAATGAATATTATCCCCAATATCTGCCACCACAGTCTTAATCAGTGGTGGAAGAACAGTCTCAGAACTGTTTATCTCAATTGGCCATTTAAGTTTAATAGTAAAAAACTGGTTAATGATAACAATGCATCATAAAACCATCAGAAGAAAAGGAAAATGTTTTTGTGGACCATTTGGCTTCTTTTGTGTGGCAGTTTTAAATTATTAGTTTTTAAAATCAGTACTTTGTGGGCCTTCCCGGTGGCACAGCGGTTGAGCGCTGGGTTGCGAAGCTGCCGGCGGCCTCTGCGGCTCTGGTTCGATCCCCAGCTGCTCCCCGGCCTCCGGAGGAGGGTCCCACATGGCGCGCAGACCTCTCCTGCCGCCCGCTGCTCCCCTCAGCAGTGTACTTCAGTCCTTCTGCCTGCTCTGCTCCCCGCTCTGGCTCTGGTGAATTCTCTTACCCTCCCGTGCTTCTGACTGTACCCAGTGCATGTATAAACAAAACAAACAAATAAATAAATAAATAAAACATGCCTCTATTTAAAAAAAAAATAAAATAAAATAAAATCAGTACTTTGTAATGGAAACAACTTGACCAAAAATCTGTCACAGAATTTTGAGACCCATTAAAACAAAGTTTAATGAGGAAAAAAAAAAAGAATATAGGGTGTGTGTTATGATCCCAACAGATATAAGAACAAATCCTCAGAAGCTGGGCAAGTACCTACATCATCATATCCAAGAAGTGAGGGACAATTTGCGTGCCCTCTTCCAGTTTGGTTCCCTGCTCCAAAAACAGTCTTCCTGTGTCCTTTCCTCTTTATCTGAGCACAGATTATATTGGGTTGTCAGGAAAGTCATGACATATTTTTTCTGTTTTTAACAACCAAATAGAACCCCCACCTCTGCCCCTGGAGCCTCATGTATATTTGATATGTTATAATACACTTACCTTCATTTAAAATAAATGGTTATAACATGTTTTACATGCTAGCACTTAGGTCTGGTGATGGGTTTTGAATAAAGTAACAGCCTGTTGCATAAATTTGTAGATATAACTTTGTAGTGCTCTTCAGTGTCATTGCGTTTCCTTTTGTTTTCCTATTGTAAATAATGTGTGCTACCATAAGTTAAATCTTATTTTGTTATAGAAGCATCACTCTGAGAATAAGGGCCTAGACAAAGTGGTGGAGACTCAAGCCCAAGTGGATGAACTGAAAGGAATCATGGTCCGAAATATAGGTATGTTTCAAGGCATAGCCTACATGTATGTGGGCAGAGTGATGATAGATTACTTGATTTGGGTCAAAATACTGTAGAGAGGCTGAAACAGCATTCTTTTGTTCTTACTGTTGGGAGCTATTTATCAGCTGAGACAAGGAGATTACATACCTATGATACTGTCTACTTTATGCATGGCTTTGACTGGTTCTTCATTCTAAATTTGTTGGTTTGTTTAGCAACACTAATTTCTCAAACCTTATGACATTCAGCAATTTAGAATAATTTAGTCATTACAGAACTGAAGCCTCCAGAGGAAGGAGGATGGGGGGCAGGTAAGAACAAAGAGGGAAGGAAGCACAGTGGACTGTGGTGGTGGTCTGCAAGTGCATTGGTGGTAAGTGTGCTGCAGTGGCAATACCTGATGGGGGTATCCAAAATTATCTCAATTAAAAACAAACTTAAAAAATAATTTAGTCAGTTTTTATGAACCAGAGACACCCTATGGGGGGTAGGGGGTGGGAGGGAGGGATTGGGGTCAAAATAAGGGGGTTGCAATTGTATGGGAATATAAAAATAAAATTTATTATAAAAAATAAAAAAAGAAGAAAAAAAATTTAGTCAGTTTTGACTGGAGAAACACAGAGAGATAAGTACCTACTGATACTTACAGTTATTTTGTCCCTTTAGAAAGTTTGTTGTTCTTGATTGAAAGAATTAGATCAAAAAACTGTTTTGTATTCTTCAAAATAATCAACTATACTATAAATTCCATAGGCCTGTGTTGTGTCAACAATCTGTTTAACATGTTAAAATTATCCTGAAAAATGCATCAAGTTTATTCTTAATTGATTATGCATTGATACTTAATTTAGGATGATGCTAAATTTTAAAAAGCACTGGCTCTCATCAGTGTAGTTCTTGGGCCAGTAGCATCAGCATCCCCAGGAAATGCATCCCCAGAAATGCATTTTTGGACTTCAGCCCGGATATGTTGAATAAGAAACTCTGGAAGTGGAGCCCAGTAATATGTATTCATGAGTCCTTCAGAGGATTCCAGAGCATTCTCAAGTTTGAGAACCATCCTTTAAAATATGTCTTCTGGGGCCTCCCTGGTGGCCTAGGGGTTGAGTCTCAGCACTATCACCGTTAAGGCCTGAGTGCGATCCACGGCCAGGGAGCTGACCCATAGGGCACAGCAGACCCCTCCTGACTTCCCGCTGTTCCCCTCAGTAGTGTATTTCAGTGGATCTGCCTGTTCTGCTCCCCACTCTGTCTCTGGTGATCCTCTCACCTGCATCTCTGCCCTGTGCCCCAGTTCTTGTATGCAAAAAAATAAGTCTTCTAAGGGAACATCTCATAAACAATGACTTATAAAATTGAATAAAAATGATTATATAATACATAAGATACTTCATTGAGACTCAAATTTTATGTGTACATTTACATATACTTTGAATTTACTATTTGAATTACTTTTACATTTATTAGAACAGTTACAAGTTATGTAAAGACATTTTTTTTTACATGGCTGTAAATTTTATTATTTTTTTTAATAATAAATTTTATTTTTATATTCCCCATACAATTTCAACCCCTCCATTCTGACCCCAATCTCTCCCCTCCCTCCCCCCACCCCTATGTAAAGACATTTTTTAAGAATTTACTCCTGGTCTCACCATCCTAAAAATTTATTTATATTTTCTTTCCTTTAAATTTTATCACATGTATGCAAAGTTAGAATCATACTCTATATTCAGGACTGTGGAGGCAGCAATCAAGATTTGTAGTCATATATTTCTGAGTTTGAGTCCTGATTTCACTTCCTGCTGTTATCCTTGATCATTCCTGTAACCTCTCTGAGCTTTTTTTCTTTATCTTCGGAAAGGATAGAATAGAACCTATGGTTACCATGATGACAGAAGTAATGTTAGCTATTTATTACTAGTCTGCCTTGTGCTCATGCAGTTGGTGTATCATAGGTTACCAGTCATGTCCTTGTTTTGGACACTTCCATTCTTTAAAGAAATGCACTCAGATTGCTGTTTCACAACCAGATCAAACACTTGCTCCATAATGTAAGTCAGTGATGTGTTTCCTTCCTTGAGAATGTCTTGCTATGAGAGTAGCAGTTGAACTGAGCAATGTGCTTAGAGACTTAGTTGAAATGATAACACTCTTAGGTAGCACTAATTTAGAGGCTTATGTTACAGAAACAAACGTTACAATGTTTTTGTGCCTGTTATGTTTTTTATTGACATCAATTCCCAGGAATGGGATTAATAATCAAAATGCAGAAACTTATTTGCAGTTCTTGATATGTCTGTCTCTTGGCTATCAGAACCAATTTCCTTTCATTGATTGTAGTTTTAATTTTATGTCTTAGATGGAGACTAGCAAACCTATTAAAAAGTACTAATATTTCTTTCCCCTCTTTTTGGGTACCAAATGTATGTATTTTACATGAAAATGGAACCAGCGAGCTACTACCATATTTATTGCATATGCATAAAGTTTCCAGAAAATGAGACTTTTAAATCAACTACTTTTAAAGGATTTATTTTTAGAATTACAGAAAGAACAATTAAAATGTAGCAAAAAAACATTTGTAATCATCTCCATTTAACCATTTAACAGCTTTATTGAGATGTATTTGCCATCCAATTCACCATACAATCCAGTTATTTTTACTATATTCACAGAATTGCAGTTACTACCACAAGCAACTTTAGAATATTTTTCTGACCCCCCCCAAAAAAAAATCTATCCATTTATTGTCACTCCCCTTTCCAACCTCCAGACCTAAGCAACAATTAGTCTCCCTTCTGTATCTGTAGATTTCTCTATTCTGGACATTTCATGTCGATTGAATCATTCAATATGTTGCCTTTTGTGTCTTGGCTTCTTTCACTTATCATAATGACTTTTTAAAAATTATTTTATATAATTTTTACATCATTTTTCATTTTTGCATAATGTATGCATTTTCATTTTGGTTATATTCTCCATACAATTCTCAGCCCCCTTATTCTGACCCTAATCCCTCTTCTCCTCCCCCTGCCCCCCCACTGTAGTGTGTCTCTGGTCTGTAGTTGCTTGTTGATTTTGGTTTTTACTTTATTGCAGTTAGTCTTTTTCCTGGTCCCTTATTTAGGTTTTCTAAATTCCTGCTACGAGTGAGACCATCCAGTATTTTCTTTTTCTTTCTGGCTTATTTTGCTGAGCATGATCCCTTCCAGCTTCATCCATGTTGCTGAAAATTACATGAGTTTATCTTTTTTGATGGCTGAGTAATATTCCATCATGTATATATACCACATCTTCTTGATCTAGTCATCTATTTTTGGTCATTTGTGTTGTTTCCATAGCTTAGCTATTATAAATAGTGCTGCTATAAACATAAGGGTGCAGGTGTCCTTCTGAATTAATGTTCCTGAGTCCTTTGGGTAAAATACCTAGGAGTGGAGTTGCTGAATCATATGGAAGCACTATCTTTAGTAGATTCAGAAATCTCCACACAGCTCTCCATAGTGGTTGGACCATTTTGCACTCCCACCAGCAGTGTGGGAGAGTTCCTTTTTCTCTACATCCTTGCCAACATTTGTTGCTAGTTTTTTTTTTAATATGTGCCATTCTCACTGGTGTGAGATGGTATCTCATTGTAGTTTTGGTTTGCATTTCCCTGATTGCAAGTGATGTTGAACATTTATTTCATATGCCTGTTGGCCATTTGCATTTCCTCTTTGGAAAAGTTTCTTTTTAGCTCTTCTGCCCATTTTTTGACTGGATTATTTTGTTTTTTTTTATTGAGTCTCATCAGCTCTTTGTGGATTTTTGTGATCAGTCCTTTATCATTAGTGTTGTGTGCAAAAATTTTCTCCCAGTCGGTGGGGTTTTTCTTTGTTTTGGTTATTGTCTCTTTTGCTGTACAGAAGCTCTTTAATTTGATGTAGTCCCAGCTGTTGATCTTTGCCTTCACTATCACCGCTTTGGGTGATGTGTCTGTAAAGATGTCTTTGAGGTGCATGTCATGTAGTGTTTCGCCTATATTTCCTTCTATATATTTTATGTTTTCAGGTCTTATGTCTAGTTCTTTAATCCATTTTGAGTTGGTTTTTGTGCATGGTGTGAGGTAGTAGTCAAGCTTCATTCTTTTGCATGTAGCGACCCAGTTTTCCCAGCACCATTTATTGAACAAACTTTCTTTGCTCCAGTGCATATTCTTTGCTCCTTTGTCAAAGATTAGTTGACTGTAAATCTGTGGGTTTATTTCTGGATTTTCTGTTGGGTTCCATTGGTCCGTGTGTCTGTTCTTGTTCCAATACCATGCAGTTTTGATTATTATGGCTTTGTAATGTAGTTGGAAATCTGGGAGTGTGATGCCTCCATTCCCTTCTCTTTTTTTTTCAGGAGAGCTTTGGCTATTCGGGGTTTTGGTGATTTCATATGAATTTCATCAATAATTGTTCTATTTCTTTGAAGAATGTCATTGAAATTTTTATTGGAATAGCATTGAATCTGTAAATTGCTTTTGGTAGGATGGCCATTTTGATAATGTTAATTCTTCCAATCCATGAGCAAGGGATATCTTTCCATTTCTTTGTGTCTTCTTCTATATCTTTTAAGTGTTTTATAGTTTTCTTTGTATAGGTCCTTTACCTCTTTTGTTAGGTTTATTCCCATGTATTTGATTTTTTTTTGTTTCAATAATAAAAGGGATGGTTTTTTTGATTTCTTCTTCAGATTTATTGTTTGTGTATAGGAAGGCTACTGATTTTTGTATCCTGCCACTTTACTGAACTGATTGATGAGTTTAATTAGTTTTTCTGTGGAGTTTTTGGGGTTCTCTATGTATATTATCATATCATCTGTGAATAGTGATAGTTTGACTTCTTCCTTCCCGATTTGGATTCCTTGTATGTCTTTCTCTTGTCTTATTGCTCTGGCTAGGACTTCCAGTATTATATTGAAAAGCAGTGATGAGAGTGGACATCCTTGTCTTGTTCCAGATCTTAATGGAA